TCTTGGCCTGGTTCGTGTTCGAGTCCGAGGGCATGTCTCCAAAGTCGGCCGGCGTCGTCTCCTTTGTCCAGAAGTCGTCCGAGTGCTCGCTGCTCGCGTAGCCGACTGACGCGTCGACCGCCGACTGCGAGAATGCGTCCCCGTAAAACCCAGACTGTGACTGTTGAGACTCACTCCCCGTGCGCAGGTGGCTTGAATGAGCGACTGGCAAGCTTGAGGTCGACTCGAAGAAAAAGTCCAGGATGTCCACTGTGCTTTGATCTGAGGTGGCCGACGAGGGATAGGACCAGTCGAATGCAGCGGCGTTGAAATCTGTGGGAAAGCCCAAACCCATGTTGTGCTCGATTGCTTGCATTATTTGTTGGTTGAAATGGGATCGACGACGGCTTTTCCGATCTTGTTGTGAAGGTCCAGAAGGGTAATAAAGTGTTGTAATAATATTAGGAATATTAGACCGCGTTGGGTTGGATTATCCCAAATGGGAGTAGAACGGATTTGCTAGTGTTGCTGTTGTCTTTTGGATCTCGATGGAGGACTTCAAACATTGCAGAGGCAGGAAAGATGTGGTGTTGTTATATCCCACAAGGCTGGCCTACGAACAGCTTTGATACAACAAGCGCGCAGTCACCCCAAAGGATGACGCAGCGTGGGTGAATAAGATGGGCTTGCCTGCCCCATCTAGACCGCCAGGACTGAGAAACGACCTGTGATATGACGCAGGGTCCCAAGCTACCCTTGCACGCGAACTCACATTTGGGAAACTGGGGGTGGGCGAAGAGACATATTCGCCTGACAAAGCGAGGGTTGGGAAAGGAGGAGTGTTTCGGATAGTGGGAGCGGCGCACGGAGTGCAGGTACGGCATCGCAGGGCAGCTTTAGTGAGTAAGAGGGGGGTATAGCGATAGCGTGTTGGCGTTGTGCGGGAATTCTCCCGGTAAACGAAGGGGTCGATGTCGCAGGAGGAGGGAAAGAGGAGGGGGGGGAGGGTGAGGGGAGGTGATTGGATCAGTGACGTGACATCAGATACTTCTATACCGAAATAGGAGAGCGGGGAACTGCTTATTAGAACAGCTTGTCCAATCAAATGGTCCACGCTCAATACCGAGGACAGATACCAGCAACCTCACCAATCTACTTCTCCTCAGTAACATCCAAACCCCCTCCATCCTCTTGCGACTGTCAACAACTATCTTCTCTGTTATCCACTGCCTACACAAGAGGGGTTAGTCCGCAGTTTCCCCTGCCAACGCACCTTCCTTAAGGAAACTACTCTCCTCTCCGACTTCTTCTCACTGGAAGAGGGACCTGGCTTGATTAGTGAGGTTTGCTTCTACTTGTAGTATTAGCGCGAGCGATGCGGTTCCCCTATCGGGAATACCCCTCTCATTTCAAGCTATCTGTCAACCTGCATATCTGGAATTGAGATATCTCTCCAGGTCAAGAGGACCTGCACTCACCGATATTTACATGGGCACTTGATACTTGCAGCAATGTTGACAGATTGTCCGTCGTTCAAAGGCACGACGCTCTTCAGGGACTTTAGCGAAGTCTAGACGCGGTCCCTTGCTGGTCTTCAGTTTTGTCGGACTTCGTCCGCCAGTACGAGTAGGATGGAAAACATGAACTGCCGCGGTTCCTTCCGGCTCCCCTGGGGCTCCCTCTGAGATAGACGGATTCAGTGGATCACGGTCCCTCTGATCTAACAAATCCACATCCCACGCTGGCACAATCACGTCCGTCAATCAAGCGCTCGAGAATGGCCTCACGGACGGATGGTCCGTTGCTTGCTTCCATGCTTCTATGCATGCTTCTCTGCATTCTTTATCATCAAGCATCTTCGCCTGCGCCGATCACTGGGTGTCAACCAGATCCGTGGTTGTTAGCCGGACTTTCAGATCCTCCAAACCCCCTGCTTGGATTGATACCATCTGGAAAAGCACCGAGTTGCAATGACGGTCGCATTTTCCCCGGTTGGTGGGCTTCTGCCTCATCCCACCCCTTTTTCTCTCCGACATCAAAGCCTCCAGAAGTAGCGACAACTCTTTCTTGTTGCACAATGAACTACTCAGACTCTGGGCAGCAGTCTAGGTCATGTCCACCGAAAATTTTACGTTGCTGCTGAACTGGATTTGCTAAGATCAGAACATACACACGTTGATGTCTCGCCTTGCTGACATCAACTTGACCACATCGCTGAAGGTTCAGGGAATGGTCCACGGCATATCTCCAGCTTGAGACGGTTGCTTGTCGGATTGAAGGTGTGAGAGACGCGATATGAACCACATCAGGGGGGCCAACTCTGCTGGATTTCTGTACAAACAGAGTCGATCAATTTCAGAGATTTCGAGCTGGTCCAGCAACAAGAATTTCAACAGGGAGTTACATGATCCTGCTTGTCCTGAGAGGGTTTGGTGCTGGAATTACTATCCCCTCAACTTTGTTCTCTGATGATACAGATGCTTTGGGCAGGCAAACTGGCCTTTTCTCTACAGATTGTCGTATTTCGTACACCAAGGGGTTCAATTCATCGGATGAACTACAGCCAAATTCGCCGATTCGTTCGCGACAGCCACCTATTTTGGGATGAAACCTCGACGGATGCCTCGGTTGGATAAAATCCACTTGTCTGACAGGTGAGACGCTCGCACTCTAATGGTCAAAATGGGTGTCAAACCTCTTCAACTATTCTGTCAGACGGAATATCTCACATATCAAATGACGACACCATCCCGCCTCGCTTAACATGGAATGTCATTGTCCCGATTCCAATGAGGCGAAGAGGATTCATCACCGTCCAACACTTTCAACCTTCGTTTCCACATTCAGATCAGTGTCCTTTTCGCGCATTTTGCGTCTGCCTGTCCTTTTCGGCTTCATTATCTCTTCACTTCAACTCTTAAAACTCTTGGACTCTTGTCTGGTTTTCCAACAGAAGGAGGCTCTGCGCGAGACAAACATTCCGACCTTATCATTCTGCACAAGAGACTCGCCCTTACTGAATTCAAGATGCCCTTTCAAGTCCCAGAATTCCTGGGCACCTATCGCTTCTGGGTCACCCTGTCTCTGGCTGGCTCCGTTCTCCTGGTCAGGTTTGCGCCTCAGTATTCAATTTTCCACTCCTACACATGGACAGCCTCTGTGATTTTCCTCTTCCAGGCCTTGATCTGGGCAGTCTACGTTATCTTCATCTACCCTTTTTACACGAGCCCTCTGCGTAATCTGCCGACGGTCCAAGGAGGTAGCAGGATCTCGGGCCACTGGCGCACGATGCTCAAAGAACCCTCTGGGGTGCCTCAGAGACGCTGGGCTCAAGAGATTCCCAACGACGGCCTGATCCGCTACTTGCACCTTTACAACCGGGAACGTCTGCTGGTCACTAACCCCAAGGGTCTTGCCGAAGTTCTGAATACGAAGAGCTATGAATTCATCAAGCCCGAGTTACTTCGCACGGGTATCGGACGAGTCCTAGGTGTTGGGGTGCTGCTTGCAGAGGGCGACGACCACAAAGCGCAGAGGAAGAATCTCATGCCGGCGTTCCACTTTCGCCACATCAAGGAACTCTACCCGATATTTTGGTCCAAATCTCGAGAGATGGTGCATGAGATCCAGAAACAGCTGGAGTCGTCGTCCGAGCCACGGCCCTCAATTGAAGTTAGCGAATGGGGCAGTCGCGCAACGTTGGACATCATCGGTGTGGCCGGCATGGGTCAAGACTTCAACTCACTGCGAGACCCGACGAACGAATTGAATCGTGTCTACCGGGCAGTATTCCAGCCTGACCGTACCGCCCAGATCCTGGGTCTCCTCTCCTTCTTCCTTCCGGCGTGGTTTCTCAACAACCTCCCTATCGACCGGAACAACCAAGTACAAGCCGCGTCGGACGTGGCAAAAGATACCTGCCGCCAGTTGATCGCGCAAAAAAAGCAGCGCATGGCCAACAAGGAGCCCATGCAGCCGGACATCATCTCCGTCGCGCTCGAGTCCGGCGGATTCACCGACGAAGAGCTCGTCAACAACATGATGACCTTCCTCGCCGCGGGCCACGAAACCACGGCATCGGCGTTCGCCTGGGCTGTGTACCAACTGTGCCAACGACGAGATATTCAGGCACGCCTGCGGGACGAGATCCGGTCGCACATCTCCAGTCTCGACAGCGACGACATCACCGCCGAAGTCATCGACGGCATGCCCTACCTCCACGCCGTCTGCCAGGAGATATTACGTCTCTGGGCGCCCGTGCCACTCACCCTGCGCGACGCGGCCTGCAACACGTCGATCCTGGGCCACTTTGTCCCCAAGGGCACCAAGGTCATCCTGTCGCCGTGGGCCATCAACCACAACACGGCGCTGTGGGGCGACGACGCCTCCGAGTTCAACCCGGACCGGTGGACCGCGCCGGGCCAGGCCAACGCCGGCGGCGCCGTCAGCAACTACGCCTTTCTGACCTTCCTGCACGGCCCGCGGAGCTGCATCGGCGCAAAATTCGCCGTCGCCGAGTTCGCATGCCTGCTCGCCGCCTTCGTCGGCACCTATGATTTCGAGATGGTCGACCCGGACAGGGAGATCGAGATCAAGGGAGGCGTCACGGCCCGTCCCAAGGGCGGCATCGAGGTATACCTCAAACCCGTCGAGGGCTGGACGAGTTGAATTTTTTTTTTCGCTCTGCACTTTTGACGGCGAAGAGCACGGGGTGTTTCGCGGCGTTGAGATATGGAAATATGCATGAATGCTTTGCACCACACCGACAGGGAACAGTCTTGTTCGGATGGAGCATATGTGCGTATGAGTGCGTTTGACGGATATATACGAGGTATAAGCAAGCATGGAGTAAGGATCAGGTGCCATTGTTGGCGGTCTTCAGCGGAGATTCACGTCTCATGGCCAGGAAATCCATGCATATATTTCTACTCAAACCAATTTGCAAAGTCTCGATGCTGCTCTCGGGTTTTTTTTTTCCTAGAAGACGATACTGGCTTCTACGACTAGATGTGATTCTCTCATCACTCTTCATCGCTCAGCTCGCTGAGTTCACTTGACTCGCTTTCCGAACTATTTCCCCTTTTGCGGCCCTTCTGCTTCTCCCCCCTTGCCGCACCGTTGGCGCTCTGTTTTCCACCAAACATGTCCATTAAATTCTTCTGGCCCTTCTCGGCCTGTTTTTCTTTGGACAGTTTCTTCTTCTCCTGCTCCAGCTTCTTGTCCCTCAATCTCTCATATTGCGCCTGCATCTGGTCCCTCTCCGCCTTGCCTCTTTCACTCAACTCGTTCTCCAGTCGCTGAAACTCTTCGCTCTCCGGGTCCATGCCGATCAGACTCTCCAAAAGTTTGATCTCCGTCGCCCAGATACTCTTGTCCTCGATCATTTTCTTTCCCTTTGGATCGCCTGGGTCTGGTTTTTCGCAGGGTGTCTCGAGTATCAAAGGCAGGTTCTGGAAGCGCGGTTCATTCATGACGTTGTGGAATGCACGGAGTCCCAGAAATCCCAGGCCAATATTCTGGTGGAGGTCTCGGTGGCTGCCTAATGGCATCTTGGAGTCGTTCAGGTGCATGGCTTTGAGGTATTTGAAGCCGACGACACTGTCAAACTCGTCCATGGTCTTCTTGAAGTCCTCCGGACTGCGCAGGTCGTAACCTGCCGCGAATGCGTGGCATGTGTCGATGCAGACACCAATTCGAGACCTATACTCAGGCTTGATCTGAGAGATGACGTCTCGGAGATCTGAAAATCGCCCGCCAATCAGTGTGCCATGGCCTGCCATATTCTCTAACAGTGGGACAACAGTTTTCGTTTCTGCCAGCGCCCGGTTGAGTCTGGTGGCGAGTCGGGTGATCGCTTCTGCGAAGGGACTTTGTCCAGCTCCTCCTGGGTGAAAGTTGTAGTACCGAATCCCGAGGGCCTCGCACCGGTGAAGATCGTCGATGAACGCATCATAAGACTGCTTTGCCTTGTCCTCATCCTCGGTGGCGAGGTTGACCAGGTATGATCCGTGTGGGACGATATGTGACAGTCCGTCAAACTTGTGGTCTATCAGCGCCTTCTTGAACGCATCTCTATTCTCATCCTTCAACGCAGGGTTCTCCCATTTCCGCTGCGACTTGAGGAAACATGCAAAGGCGTTGCCTCCGATCTGGACGCAATTTGTAACTGCATTTTCCACCCCTTTCGCTATACTTGTGTGAGCGCCCACGTACATCTTAAGCCCGACAGTTCTAGGAGCAAAAGGCATCGCCTCGGTCTCCTTTTCTTCTTTCGTTTTGCGTTTTCGCTTGGGTTTGGTGAGCTCTTTCTGCTCTGCTTTGTCTCCTTCAAGCTCGGACCCTTCCGATTCAGCCTCTTTCTTAACATTCGCCTTCGCTCTCCGTTTGGAAGTGTCCGAGGTGGGCTGCTCGCTTTGCTCGATCGTCACCTCAACCTCCTTCTTCAGCGCCGCTTTGCCCTTTGCCACCGGACTGGCTTTGGTGGTTACTTCCTCCTTGACGGCTACGGTGACTTCCTTGTTCGTCTTTCGCTGAGTTTTCTGTGTGATGTCCGCGCGATCCTCCGCTGGTTTTGTGCGCTTTCGGCTCCTCGCATTGAGTTCACTCTCTGGTCCATCGACAACGGTTGCACCACCTCGCTTGCGTTTCTTGGTGTCCGGACTATCTGGATAGGTGTCTATAGCAGCGACTGGTTTACTCTTGCGCAATTGAGGCATGTTTTTTGAACTTTGTACACGAACGGTAGGGAAGACAGCCTTAAGAAGGTGTTCATTGAAATCTTGGAGATCATGACGGCTATAACGCGTCCATCGGAGTTGACGCGTAAAGTGGCCTGCCTCGCCGCACCTTCCCCAAATTCCTGTGGATGTCAAAAGCCAACTAATTTGTAGATTCACTCTTGCTACTCGGTACACATTGCAGATCGAACAAAAAGACTGTACTTCACTAATTCCTGAAATATGAGTATTTGATCAATTCTCCCCCGGCCCCTCTTCTCAACCATGACAGATGAAACCATGGACGATACGCCGGAACTCTCAGCGACCGAGTCAAGCGAAGATGAATCAGAGGAAGAACTCGTCGAGACCCTCATCGCTGGTAGGGAGCGAAGGAAGACTGCTGGCAACCGCTATGACAGGGACATGATACTGGAAGAGGTGGCAAATGTGGACGAACAAGACGAGGTCACTCTATTGTTTGCGGACAACGAAGAGGAAGAAGATGAGGAATTCAAAAGCGGAGACGACGATGAGGACGCGGACATGTCTTCCAGCGATGATGATGATCAAGGACCGAATGCCGCAGCCGACGACCTCGAAGGAGAGAAGGAAATACAAAAGCAGGCCAAAGAGGAACGAGCGAAGAAACGCAAAGCAGACCTAGCCCTAACCAGTGTTGCGGGCATGAGGAAGAAACTCAAGACCGATCCGACACGACCAGCTGCTGCATCAATTGCACCAAAACCATCTAAGAAGAAAGAGCGAGTTACATGGGTTCACGATCCTGATTCCGGTCGAAGTTCCCTGCGTAAGCAGACAATTGCCCACCGAGCGGAAACTATCGCCCGACTCAAGGAGAGCGAAGCGCAAAGCAAGAAGCTCAAAGCGCTCAAGGAACAACGGGAAAAAGAAAAGGCAAGGGATGTTCCCAAAGAACTCACGCAAGCTGATCGGTTAGCCGAAGCTGCAAGAGTTGAGCGACAAAATGCTAAGAGCCTAAATCGGTGGGAGACTATGGAGAAGAAGAGGCAAGAAGAGCTGGCGGCAAAACTCGCAGCCCTCAAGGACAGGAAGCTGGAAGGGCCAGTTGTTACCTGGTTAAGTGCTAAGGCTAAATGGATCGGTCCCAAGCTGAACAAGATCGGCACGAGAGATGCCCCAGATCCGGGAGAAGGCAAAACAACAGAGACGAAGAAGCGTGGGCGGAAGTCAAAAGCGTACCTTGAGCAGCTAGCCGCAGAAAGGAGTGGCGGTTTAGGGAGAGCCGGAGCATTGCAGACAGGTTCCGTGACAACTGCGCAGGCACAAGAACCAACGTCGAATCAACCCGACGAACCAAACAAGGACACCATCATCATCATCCCTGCTGCTCCCAGCCCAAAGGGTGCTCCCCCGGAAATCACGCTCACTGTCCCGCAAGACCACGAGGACACCTTCTTGAAAGGGATACACGAGTATGCTGATATGCAAACGGACAGCAACCCGACGGAGAGCAGACGAGTCAGCCCAATTCCCCAGGAGTCAACTGCACGGCAAGATACAGCGAAGCAGCTAGAAACACAACAAAGCCCCAGGGCTCTGGCGGAAGATACGCCAGACCAGGTTGTCCAAGTTCCAACTCCTGACGTGACCGATAATGTCGTCATCAAGCCTGAAGTGTCTATTGAGCAGATTCCAATATCCGAATCTAATGTGCCGCAAGAGCAGACACAAATACAAGGTCCGGTCACAACAGAAGAGCAGACCCGGCCAGCTGAAAATGACGAGCAGAAGGAGAAGCTGCAGCCCTTTCAGGGTATAGAGCAGAAACAACATACTCCTCCAGCTAGCGCGATCGACAAGCCCGAGCAGACAGAAATTGCCCAAGAAAGCACACAAACAGAGCAGACGTCGCTCGACGGCACCACCGCGCCAGTCACAGCACCGGAGCCTCCTCTAGTTGAGGAAGAGTCGACGCGAAATATGGTCATTCTGGAAAGGTTTGAAGAGCTTTCCAGCCAATCCCGGCAGGAGTACTCCCTATTCTATAACAATCGCAAAACAGCCAAACCAGTGAAGCACATTCAAGAGCTGTGTTCCGTCACAATGTTGCCTGTTCGATACCGAGATCGAGAGACAGGAATCGGGTTCGCCAATGCAGGTGCATACAAAAAGCTTCAAGAACTAAAGGAGCACAAGTTTGTGTGGAGCAGCATGCTTGGATGCTATGTTGGTCGAGAAGGAGAGCCGGCAGCCCGAGGAGTGCCAGAAGGATGGAGTTGAAGCCGTCATCGGCTGCATTATAGTCCCAATCAATGCGATGGTACATTTTCCTTCTTAGCTGATGATGGAATAAATTGAGAGGATATGCTAATCGCACGATGAGGCCAGCTACGAGCAAGACACGTACCTGGGCTAAACCCCTCCTGATCCATGGCATTTGCACTTCCCAGTGCCTTGCATGGAGCCAGAGGACCTTTGGTGCGCTCCGTTTAGATGCTCCTTGTCCCCCGTCAGTCACCCGTCAGACCAAGGCCGGATTCAGCCTAGGCGCTTCGATTAGGGGGTCATAGGGCTCGCGGCACATGCACCTGGGACATTGGCCCGCCCATCGACCCCTCATCCTATAGGCCTTTCAGGCTGCGTGGTGCCCCAAAACATTGCGGTCGCGGGAAGTGGCCTCGTCTGGAACGGGGCACGGCACACGCCCACTTTTAACGTCATCCACACAAGGCGCAGCCTGGCACCCTTGGAATGCACCCAAGTCACTTTTGCGGTGTACAACAAATCATCAGCTGCCCAACCAAGGCAACGCCTGGCCTCTCCTTTATTATCCCTCATCCCGGGTACATATACCTACCTCACCGCCCTCAATGGGAGAAGATCTTCCCTCGCGAAAAATCCAGCAACATGGCAAAGGAGGCACTTCCTCTGCTCGGAAACTGAAGCGCAGGAGTGGTGACTCAGTGCTCACTCCTCGCTCCTCCGCCCTCAGCGGTAACAGGAGGGACAAAGAAAAAGAGATGGCGGCTAGTTTTCTGCAGTACTGGTAAGGCCACAAATCCATGGTCCGTCTTCATTGCAGGCGAATTCCTAACCCGCGAGCGCAGCGCCATGTGCGAAAGACAGATCATGACTCCATGCAACTCGATTCTCTACTGCAGTGAAGCGTGAGTCCCACCCTCGTCTGCCCCTCTCTTCTCTATCACAGACGCTGATGAGCGGTCAGATGTCGCCGCAAGGACGCCGCGAAGCCTTTGTCGGCCTCCAATCTGTCCCATGAATCTTCTACACCGCCATCATCCCTCCCCTCCTCTCCGCGTCCGACCATACCAACGCGCATCCCCAGCGCGTCACCAGAACATCAAGACAAACCTTCCATACGGATACCCACTGATCTGCACGAGCACCGATCAGATCTTGACCCAACGGAATGGAAACCCAAAATACCTCACCGCGGCGCCTCGGCCGGCTCTGAGGCGTTTCGCTACCTGAGTCGTTTCCACCAGACACACAATGTCGTCAACAGCCCTTCCGATCATGCCGATAACCACCACCTCGTCAAGACCGACCGCCCAGCAGCAATGCGGCACAAGAGTACCTTGAGCATGTCTACCCTGACACCCAGCACAACCACGCCAAGTCTGGCCAACAGCCCCACCACAACATCATCCAGCTTTGGCAGCATGTACGAGTTCAACTTGCGCCCGCTGGCCCCTCGCACCAATCCACTGTACAGCACCAGTGCCGGATACTCTCGAAGCATAGATTTGGTCACGCCCCATATCCCCCCTCCGGCTCTGAGGGTTGTTGGCGACGTTCCGCCATTGGCGGGGTCGATCCCCGCCGCGGAACCAGAGTTTGATCTCTGGGGCAAGAAAGTGGTTCGACCTGTCGTCCCCGCCGCGACGCCAAAGGGCGAGGGCTTGGGAGCCTTGTTTGGGAAGGCGTCTTGATTCTATAGAGAGAGAGAGAGGACGTGTGCTGGCAACGGCGGACTGTACTCGGTGCCATGGTTTGGATGGTTGGGCGGCTGGAATGAATGATGGGACGCTTGGACTGAACCCGTGATAGTTGGATGATGCTGGAGAGAACCTTGACCACCGCGCAGCTCATATGCGCATATAGACTGTCTAGACTATTGATACCCTCGGAATGGAATGCTTGCGGATTGGATACCGCCTGTTTTGGTCCTCCCCCTGTTCCTCCTTCCAACCAAATCTTTCTTCTTACTGAACAGTCGAAGGGGGAACCAAACCCCACCAAAACAGAGTCACATGAGTAAACGCAGGAAATGAATACAGATACCGAGTACCTCGTACAGGATACAAGATCAATTGTCCTTGATGACTTTGTTCAGAGAAGGGGGAAAAAAAGCCATTGAGCCACCACCAGTATATATTTTCATGCATGCATGCTATACATCTCATCGTTGAAATCTTCACCAAAACGGAGGGAGAAAATAGGAGACACAGACAACAACCATTCTTCACGCAAAAGCCTTTGTCGGCTTTGCTCTCTCTGTCTCTGCGATGTCGTCTCCCCATCCGGGTGAGACAGACACCCTCAGTGACAAGTGACAGTGACAGTCGACAGGAGGGTCACAACATGCCCGGCGGGGGTCCCTTGACACTGTCCAACTCGCCGTACCGCCCTCTGTGTTTTGTTGTGTCATACAGACTCAATACTCTCATCGTCTGTCCGCCAGTGCTCTCATCGCCCGCAGAAAATGCGTAGCCTCTCTGCTTCCTCATGCGCTGCACCTGCCTCACTTTTCTCACGGCTTTCTGGAATTGCTCCATCCTCGGCCTGTAATCCTGCACATTGTATTTCTGAATCTCCTGAACGTGGTGATAACTTTGTGGGAAATACATCCTCTTGACATACTTCCATGCAAAATCCCGCACAAGACAGACTGGCGGAAGGACGAGGCAAAGTGCGTAAAAGACCGGGTATGAAAACATGACGGGAATGATTCCATCGAGCTCGGTCGAAAACCCACTCCCAATATTTGGTGCCGCGTAACTGTAGGCAGGGATGAAAGCCAACCATATCACAAAGCTTCCCGGGATCGCCATCACCGTATATTTCGTCCAGACGTTCGTTATCAGTGCCGCCTTTCCAAGGACAACGAGGAGGATTGCGGTATAAGTCGAGGTACCCCAGACCCAGTGCCCCGCAACCTTACCATCAGCCAGAATGCCGTCATTCAGAAAGAAGTAACTCGAAAAGACGTATGCGAGTATGGAATGATAAAAGCCGTTGGCGACCCAGGACCAAAAGCTGTGCATGCGGAAGAACACCCCTTTCTGGGTGAGTTGGTAGGACTGCGGGTACCGGTCCAGAAGACGAGCGGAGATGTATTGATCGAATACGCCAATGGCGAAAGGTGGGAAAAATGTGAAGAGGACATTGTAAAAGGAGAGCGTCCAAGATTCGTAGATGACTTGGCCAGAAAAGGAGTTTTGGAAGGCATACTAGTCGCTTGTTAGCACTGAACACAAGTTTGATAGAGACTATTGCCGTCTTGCTTACCCAGAACTGCGTCATGAACATGGCAATGTTCTTGTAGAACGAGTACAGGATGACCTTGCTGATGCGTTGATAACTCCACGCTCCATGCACGAGGAGCAGTTTTCTGAGATAGCGGAATTGGCCAATCGAAACATCGGCACTGCGAGCAGCTTGAAGACCTTCCACGCCGCTGATACCGACACCAACGTGTGCCGCTTGGATCATGGAGACATCATTCGCACCATCGCCGATGGCCAGGAGAAGCGCCTTGAGATGTCTCTTGACGAGTTTGACCACCAGCGCCTTTTGTAATGGCGAAACTCGACAACAAATGACTGCTTTGCAAATGACTGCCAAGTCAAGAAACAGCTTCTCCATATCCTTCTCCAAGGCAAAGGCAAGAGACTTGCCATCAATGACCAGGGCGAGGACATCACGCTCACCAGCCGCAGCTTGACTCCGTACCGCGTCGTATTTCTTCTGCAGGCTTTCTCGGGTTGCGCTTGAATTATCCTCGTTGATGATCAACAGTGTCATATCCTCGCTGATCAACTTACAGCTCATGCCAATGTTGATGGCTGTTTCCTGTCGATCACCGGTAAGGACCCAGACTTTAATGCCCGCTTGTTGCAGGGTGTGAATAGTATCTGGCACTCCATCCTGGAGACGATCCTCGATCGCAGTCGCTCCCAAGAGGTACAAATCGTGCTCAATGATCTCTGCTGCCTTATCAAGCTCTTCAGCACGATTGCCTCCAACAGTTGTGGCTGCCTTGTCGAAAATTTGTCGCCATTGTTGGTACTCTTGTTCCGGAACCTCGCGCATGGCAAGACACAAAGTTCGAAGGCCTTCAGTAGCATAGTCCTCCAAATGCCGTAATGTAGTCTCCACGGTGTGATTGTCCTTGGCCAGTCTCTCCATGATCACTGTATCAGCACCCTTGCAGTATATCCGGATCTTTCCATCTGGGCAGCGGAAGAGAGTCGACATCCGCTTCCTGGTCGAGTTGAATTCACAGACTGCTAGTAGTTCGTATTCCACATCTCGGCCCTCGACTTGGACAATCACCGAGCGAGGTTTTCGGGCCACAAACCGGTATCCGAGCATCACGGCGCCTTCGACTAAAGCGCCCTCATCTGGAGATGCGGCTTGGTATTTGATCTCCGACTTCTCGTCTTTGCGTTCTGGAATCACTGTGTGGCAAACGGCAAGTAGTGAGAGGAATTGGTCAATGACGCCAGCGCTCGGATGTGACTTCATGTTCTCGCGGAGTTGTTTGAAATCATGAATGCCGTCCAAATCTTCAGGCCCGGTCGCCTTGCGGTCTTCCGGTACCACGCCTGCGTATTGAATGCCGTTGATGGAGCATTGCCGGAATTCCATCATGTTGCAGGTCAAAGTCCCTGTCTTGTCCGAGAAAATGTATTCAATCTGTCCCAACTCCTCTACAAGCGACGAGGTTCGACATACAGCGGGGGTGTCGGTCTCCGTGTAGTACATATCCAAATCGCTGCTAATGAGAAAAGCCTGGAAATATTTGACTATTTCGACGGTAACGAATAGTGACAGTGGGACCAAGTTTGAGTACAGGATCCAGTAGGTGCAGAGGTCCAGGAAGAATTGCGAAGCGGCGTTGAAATTATCGTAGTAGAGGTATGTGAGTTTTTGGCCAGCAGTAGAGCGAACAACGAGATCACCAATTGTGCTGACAGCGCTGAGAACCAAGAGGATAGCAACAAGCATCAGAATCTGCTTGTTGAGCATCCGCTCCACATCTGTTCTCTTGATAGGTGTAGCAGTAGCATTCCGCATCAGTTTCGTTTCATGGCCGGTGAAGACAACCACTCCATGCACCCAGGGAGTATTGCGGAGGACCGCCCCACGGAGAAGTAACTGGTCGGGAGACAAGGGGTGTTCTTTCTCGTTCCCTACGCCAGCCACCGTCAACGTTGCTTCGTATGTGTAGAGACTGCTATTCGGCTGTTCCGACCTTATCCGTCCGTTCAGTCTCCCCAAGTCTGCAGGGTTCACTAAATGGACCGTCTCTGGAATCGCCTGTTTAATTTTGAGGTTGGTCTCGCCGTCAAGGTTAGCGGTTTCGATGTAGCAAAGCCCTTCAGGTTCAGAACTTGTGAGCAGGACTAAGTCGGCAGGAAAAGATTCCTCCGACTCGACACGGACGATGTCACCAACAGCAACATTGATCCATTTTGTCTCCACGAAGGTCGAACCTTTTAAGACCCGTGCTTTGGAGTCATTTAAGCTCTTGTCTGCTGTCTTTCGCTTCCAGTCCTCCACCAGTTCCTTAATTGCAGATATCATGAGCACAATCAGGAGCGGGACTATAGTCGTGTAGCGATTTGTGGGGGAGACGTTAGGTACTTGCTGTAGGGCGGCGGTAAATAAGAAGAACAAGTTGGCGTATTTGGAAAATTGTTCGAAGAGAAATTTCGGTAAGAAGGTCGCGATGTTGTATTTGGCGGTAGAAACATGGTTGTCGACCCATCTGTTACCAGCGTTGACCGTGGCATTGTTGAGATGGATAATCCTGGGGCCTAGTGATGCTGGATCAACCTTCTTCCTCGTAAACATGTCTTTGATGTTATCAAAACTGAATTCCTTCTTCTCTCGAATTGGAGGCGTCTCGTCCGTCCCAGCTGTATCTACTCTCGAGTTCTGCAGACCGGCTTCGGTCAAGGGGAGGTTGATATCCGAGTAGTTGCTGTTGCGTATCCCCAGCATTCCTTTTGCTCTATCCATAACGCCCGACATGGACATCAGACTATTCCGATCGCGTCTGTGATGTCGCCCGACAACTTTGACACCTCCGCCGGGGATATGGTCGTCGGAGGGACCTGCATTATCATAGTATTTGTATCCCGACTCTTCCTCGGTCAAATCCTCCCCGTCTCCGTACCTTGCGTAATTTTGTAGGTCTGAGGTCTGGGAGTAGTTTCGGGTTCCGCTGTCCATGTAAGGAGCAGTGAAGGGTCGAGTTGAGGACGTTGGCGGTGGTGCTTGGCCTCCTGGCGCGGACCTGCCTCCGCCGACAAAATCATCGTAGCTGGTGGATGGTCTTGGTTGAGGACCTTCGGAGTCATCGATATTGAATACGTTGAGGAGTTGCGAGTCGTCTACAGGAGGGCGCTGCCCTGTGCTGTAGGCCGGCTGTGAATTCCCCAGATCATCCAGTATATTGTTGTTATGGTTGGGAGCTTGAGGCGCATTGGATCTCCCGTCCATTTCTCAAACGGATGGGCGCCAGAGGGGTTTATGAGGAGGGAATCGATAGTGTGCGTGCGTTACCGTGCCATAAAGGATCATGAAAGGCCGCCGTCACGGTTGAGAGTGATTGTTGCAGACATTTTGCGCTAGATTACAGTGTTGGACAGAGTAGATGTCAGCGTAGTCTGTCCTTTGTCGAGATTGACGGTGACTATGGCAGTACCAAGAACCCAAGTTCGATTTGGGATACGCGGCGCAGGCGGAGCAACGCCTTGAATCTAAGGAGGAGGCACGGGAGGCCACTACGTGACCCCCAGTGACCCCGTGCGGGCAACAGCATTCAGTGGCTGGTCCCTATCAAACGGGGCCTTAGCAAGGCTGGCGCTTAGTTTCAGTGGCTTTAGAGGCATCAAGCGAGACACTAATGTTACAAGCTGGTGCTGTGAGGCGCAACCCGAAGTCGCCCAGAAGACCTACGCGGGCGACTGCGGTCACTGCACCTCTCTTACTTAGGTATGTCGCAGTTTGAGGGAGCAGAGACATCCATCAACCAAATATCGTTTTGCCTGCAGCCTGGAAGCCATCCCAGTGTACCACATGTTAAATGTCACAGACTCACTGCCAACCACTGGCTCGACAGCCTATTCCACGCGGGAGATTGATTCTTCGCTGACTGGATCCTTGGTGTCTTGGGGGGGCGATTCCTAAGAATTTAAAAATGGCATCTGAGACTGCACTGCCACATCCATGATGATCGCTGCGTTGTTGTTACATATCTATCAAGCATCAACGTTTCATTCGGTGGTAGAATTGCTGTCCATACAACATCACTTCTACCCCTTTTTCTCCAGCCCGCCTCATCCAGACGCCGACAATGACGGGTAGGGTATCGACGTTGGGTTCGTGGCTCAAGAGTGTGGTCATCTCTCGTTCTCAGCTCTCAGCTCGGCAATCAGTCCGCCCACGTCTCGCTTGGTCGTATCCTCTGCCAATTTCTTAGCCACGATCTCGTTTATCTCTTTCCCTTTGCTCAGCGCCGTGTTGATACACTTCAGGAGAACTAGGGCATCGATCGAGCTCCCTCCCATTTTGGAAACTTGACATAATTCAAAGTCGTTCACAGTAAAAGTTACACTCGAGTCCCGAACTTGCTCTTCGCTGCGTGTGGCATCCAACAAGACAGTCTCCCCTCCGTGGTAGAAGCTGAACGTCGTGCAGACGGGGTGGTGCATGATGCTCAATGGAACGGGAACTCGCTCGGCCATGGTGTAGATAGTTACAGTTTCCCCATCAACCGAGACATCTGGTCTTCGAAAGTGTCTCAAAGCTGCCACAATCGCGATACAGGCACAGTCGACCAGACCACCGTCAGAGTCAAGAACGTGCACGTCTGCTCTGATGGACCAGCACTTTGCGCCCGCAATAATGCATAAGGATTCCGTATCAATAGCACGAGATCTGCGTATGGCCTTTTCGAGAGTCCGAGACAATATTACTTCTTGCTCGGTCTGTCTACCGACTTCGTAGGCGGGAGATGCAATAGGGCTCAATTCCGTGACAATTGTGAAGATCCCATCAAATTTGCGGTCTTCAAGTGGCTTGGTGACCTCTGCCGAAATTTGCACATGTACTCTTCGCACGCGTTTAGTTTAAGCCAACACGGGCGTAGACAATAGCCTACCTCGTTTTCCCCAGACGGGCAGTCACTGTTCCATATTCATCTCCGAATTGTAGGTCGAGGTTTCTGAAGTGGTCAAGAGGTCGTCCATCTAGTCGGACGCCTTGTTCTAGGGCTTGAAGGATGAAATGCTGTTCAATGTTGGAGATGTCGACTTCGCGTGGCATATTATTGAGGTAGTGTCAGCTGTGATGGTGGGTATTGTTGGTAGAGAGATTTCGTCTCCATTCAGAGAATTCGTCACTTCACACGTTTTACGGCGAGATTGATGTGACTGGTCCTTTGGGTTGCAACAATTTACTGTCTGCCTGTCTAAGTTGGTGGCTTGAGGCCGAAAATATTCTTGCGTTTGAGGACTATATGCTCCACCGGATTTCCAGGCTCGCCACTACTGTGGACCATCTCGCCGTCCAACCGAATATATCTTTTTCCTCAACAAAATCAGTTTTTCGTTTGCCTCTCGCCTCTTTGTTCCAATTTTTCCCCATCAATCCTTTGAAATGTGTTCTTTATCCAGAAGAAGTAGTCCCCCGAATCCTTGCTTTCATCTGAAATCTGACTCACTGCAAGTCGACTCCAATGCGGTTCCCAAATACCTGAGATTCCTAAAATCACATGATTGTAACCGCACTTCACATGTAAATCTGCGATCTGCAAGCGGCTGGGATGATCTAATTTGTCTCACATGCGAGATAAGCAGAAGGCCGAACGCAGATCCAGATACTGGAACGTACCGTATACGAGGTACTTATCATGACACCACGCCACGGCACCAGACGGCTATGAGGTTACTTCAAGCCTTCGACCTCAGCGAACTCCTCTTTCTGCTCCCATTGACAGGCTTGGGTTGCGTCAGCCTTGTTCAAACTTTTCCACCGAGCCTCACCAATCCCCATATTTGTTGGGCCACTATCAAGGTCGTCCACCCTCATGTCATTTCCTACATCTCTTATTGGTAAAAGAATCCATTTCTCGAGCCTCGCTGTGGTTCATTTTCGCTTTCTCGCCTTACCCGCAGCGACTTTTGCTCTTGCGCATATAGGGAATATCTGACAAACCTCCGATGCCCCACCAAGTGCAAGGACGGTTCCGTCTGTTATCGAAGACGTGGGTCTGTGGATGATGAATTGTTCTTATGCAATGAGATTCAAGCTTTGCATTGTGCCCAAACCTCTCCCACTCTGCACGGCAGCCCGGTGCCCTTTACCTCCGCCGCGGCCAGTAACTCGTCCGCTATGCCTTTGGACATTTTTACTTCTCATGCTTTCCTTTCCCTTTCCATGAACTTGCCAGCGTGTGATTCTCAGGCTCTTCGGGTCTTCGAGGCCTTTCACTTTTCCTGCTTTCAGGAATCCATGCCAAAAACGTGGTACTGAGCCAAATATTTCTGGTTGGTTCTTTGTTACAACAGTGGTCCTTTGTCGCCATTTGACCTGGAATTTTCCACCCTCGCCACATCTTAATATTTTAATAGGCTGGTCGATGCTCGCCAGGCTGCGTTCGTTCTCTCACACAATCGGCTCTTTGGTGGCCCGTGGACATGGCTGAAAGAGACATACAGTCACCAACATCCGGGCAAACCAGCAACGATTCTGATGCCAACCCTGCGAGACGGCACAGTCTCAGAGGGTTTAGGCATGGAAACAGACACCACCAAAAGGTCAAATTCTCCGACGTTGCTGATGATGCGGGAGAGCCTCTGGTCGAGACAAGCACACACGGATCTGTCCCAATAATCCGCTTGCCCGATTCTGAGGATGTAGCGGACCACGGTCTTCCAGCTACGAACTGGGCGGGAATCACGAATGCTGCTGCCGCTCAAGCCCAGGACCGGGCGAGTCGTCTCGCCAATAGATTAAGCCATTCTCACACACAACCGAGACCACCCTCAGGAATTCTTATTTCTCAAAACACCACTCCCCAAACGTTGGCATCTCCAAATTCATCTCCTCCTTCAAAGCCATTGAGTGACTGGCTAGTCAATGAAGATGATATCCCTCTAGAACCACTCGAGAAAGACAAACGTCCCTACACGCTACATGACGAAACTAGTGACGACGATACAGAGAACGAAGACCCCAAAGCTCTGCACCGAGATAATGAGAATATTCAGGAGGCGAGACGACTCATTAGAACGCTGACTAGCGGACCACATGCGACGGCATGGCAAGAGGAGTCCCGTTCCGGAGCAGAGACACCTGCAGTCGACAAGCACCTTCATGATTTGGATTATGTTCCCCCACCTGATCAATATCGTCCCAGTGTCTTTGGCGCTCTTCTTGCTTCGAAACTGGCACATTTGCAACGGAATGGAGTTACACATTCTACGTACCACGAAGACCCCGTCTCACAGCCACCCAACCGATACTCTCCAAGAGGTTTCTATTCCAAAAGCCATTCTCGCGCGGGCTCTGAGAGTCATGATCATTCCACACCATCATCTGGAAGAGCCACGCCTTCTAAAAGACCGAAGTGGTATGATAGAGATGATCGTGACCGTCACTCAACTGGATCTCTGGCAACCTTATTGGCTCAGGCATCCATGACTTCAACAGCAGCGGCTGTGCCTCAAAGCAGCAACTATGTGCCTCGTCCGCCCTCTCAACACGCAAAGTCCTCGAATGGCATGATTGCAACAGCGGTGGATATGATCAAACACCCCGCAAACTATTTCCATCACAAGTCGACACCGTCCCTTCTGATAGATGAGGAGCGAGTCGTCCTAGATGTTGCCGAGATTATTGCTTGCCGAAAGTACTTGAAGAAGCTCGCTCGGTGTCTGATGGCTGTTGGAGCACCGACTCACCGTCTCGAAGAATACATGAAGACATCAGCTCGAGCACTCAACATTGATGGCGATTTTCTCTATATGCCAGGCTCGATGCTTGTTTCCATCAACGATAGAGTTACTATGAGCACAGAAGTCACTTTGGTAAAGGAGTCACAGAGCGTCGATCTCGGAAGGTTCAGAGACGTCTTTGACGTATACAAGTTGGTCATCCACGGCAAATACACCGCTCAACAGGGGACTGCTGATCTAGACGACATCATGAAGAAGCGCGGCCGACATCCTCTTCCTCTCCGGATTTTCGCATACGGTATAGCAGCCATCGCGGTGGGCCCATTTGCTTTCTCCGCTCGGCCAGTTGACTTTGGTCCAAGTTTTATCCTGGGATGCATCCTGGGCTGGTTACAGCTTGTGGTGGTAACCCGCTCGGAACAATTCTCCCACGTCTTCGAAATACTTGCTTCCGTTCTCATCTCGTTCACTTCACGGGGCCTAGGTTCCATCTACCACAAAGGGACTGCCGTGTTTTGTTTCTCGGCTATTGCGCAAAGTAGTATAGCCCTGATCCTGCCGGGGTACATGGTGTTGTGCTCTGCTCTGGAATTGCAAAGTAAAAGCATTGTGTCAGGGTCGGTCAGGATGGTCTACGCCATTATATATTCACTGTTTCTTGGGTTTGGAATCCTGGTCGGCACAGTCATTATGGGTACGTTTCCTTGTTTATTGTTCTTCCAAATAAAATCTGGTCAGGGGACTAACAGAACCACAACAGGCCTCATCTATCCTCAAGCACAGAGTGACGTGACCTGTAATATTCCGGTTTGGTGGAACGATTCCAATCACGGGCCCAAACTCCTGTATGCGAGATTTATCTGGGTACCGATATTTGCAATATGCCTCGCTATCATCAACCAAGCGAAGTGGAAACAAATGCCGGTCATGACTCTGATCGCTTTCGTTGGCTATCAATCAAACTTCTGGATCTCTACCAAACTCTCGAATAACATCCAGGTGGCCAACGCAATCGGTGCCTTTGCGATCGGAACAATGGCCAATCTCTATTCTCGCTTCTTCCACGGTCTTGCGGCAGCCGCCATGTTGCCGGCGATATTCGTTCAGGTCCCCAGCGGACTAGCCGCGAGTGGGAGCCTGGTGGCAGGCATCACGAGTGCCGATCAAATTACTGGAAACGTGACAGGAGTAAGTATCATCAACAATGGCACTGCGGGCTTCTTGGACGCGCAGAACAGTACAACCAGTGCGGACGTTTACGGCGGGACGATTTTCAATGTTGGGTATGGGATGGTTCAAGTGGCAATTGGTATTAGCGTTGGTCTATATTTGAGCGCTTTAGTTGTATATCCGTTTGGCAAGAGGAGGAGTGGACTTTTCAGCTTGTAGATGTTATCCCATGGGTTTGGTCGCGCATGAATACTCGATACTTGGTACTTAAGCCAAAACGATCTCAGTGGTGGCGCTGGCAAGGCTGAATGACCTGCCAAGCCTTGCAAGGCTGCCGATCTGCAATTGTCACCTTGGAGGTCTCAAGACCATCTTTTCTACCTTGCAGAGCTGCACATTCTGCCTACTGCGCTCTCTATTCTCTTGATTCCACGGACTTTTTCCTGCTGCATACCCTCTGACAAACTATCCACCCAATATGACAACAGGTAGTCCCTCTCCATCTACTTTTTTGCACTGCGTGGCTAACTCTCGAAAAAGCACACCGACCGACGTTTGACCCTGCACGAGGCAAAGAAGCGCAACGAGGACCAGCTTATCACCAGCGACTGTTACCTGCGCACACTCTTCTCAAAGTCCGGTCGGTAGCGCGCAAGTATCCAAGGAAGAAGATCATCTAACGCAAACCAGACAGCCCGGTCAAGGCGGCGCCGCAGAAGCTGAGCACAGAGATCTCCGTGCAGAATTACTTGCGGCAGAGGCGGCCCATTTTGCAAAGACGAAGGGGACGATCGCAGAACCCACGAGCAGCCCCTCGAAACCTATAAAGCGAGAACTCGAAGACGACCCCGATCGTGGTAACGACGAGGACGAAGACATTGAGACAAAACGAAGAAGGATACTCGAAGAAACTAGAGACATCGATGCGGACTCAGATGGAGACGATACAGAAAGCAGCGACGAGGAAAGTGACGAAGAAGATGAGACGGCAGAGCTGATGCGTGAACTCGAGAAAATCAAAAAGGAAAGAGCTGAGCAAAAAGCACGGGAAGAAGCAGCACAGGCTCAAGAGGCAGAAGACCAGCGAGAACGAGATATTGCACTTGGTAATCCGCTCCTCAATCCAAGGGCATTCAACGTGAAGCGGAGATGGGACGACGATGTGGTCTTCAAGAACCAAGCTCGAGGCACGGAGCAGAAAGGAAACAAGGAGTTTGTCAACGTACGTCCACTCGACTGCTGGGACATGCAGAAGGATGCAAGCTGATAAGTATACAGGATCTTCTGAGATCGGATTTTCACAAGAAATTCATGGTAAGAGACTCAGTATTGGGATGGCTTTTTGGCTAAGCTAACTCGTTCTACTCTAGTCGAAATATGTCCGATAAAACCAGGCTGTATTTCTGAACGGTTGTCCATGGTCGCGACAATTTTGACGGATGCCAACGACTTGCGGTATTGAGGTCTTCAGAGATGAGACGTACAGCACCCACCCAAAGCCGATTTTTCCAGCTCAGAAACATTTGAGGCGGTGGCAAAACATGTGGTCCTCGCAACTTGAACACGTGCACGACCGAGCAAGCTGAAAGAGCTGCAGGTTGTGCATTAGCCACACTACTAGTCTGGAGATTCGGAAAAGGGCACAGCACCTAGAGCGCTCGGCAGGGGTATAATTCTGGATCGATATACCAGACTCTTGCAGGTGACGCAAAAGGCTTTGAGAGTGAGGGAGGGTTGTCCTCGTTGCGACTTGGGGACTTGGATCTTGGACAGGACCTTGGACATTTCGAAACTCTAAAGAACCCTGCCTCTGGTAAGATCCGCTTTGAGGGCCTCATTTGGGAATAAGGAGGAGAAAAAAGAGTGTGAGAGGTCCAGAAGGGGGCGGTACCCAGTTGACCGGGCGAGCGCAGGTGCGCAGATGAGTAGCCACCAGGCCACCAGGCACCAAACTAACAGAGGGGCACCTGAGAGGGCTCACTTTAAGGGCCACAGGCAGGACACATTGGTGACAGGGGGGCATCTGCCCATCGAAACCATCTCCTTCCGGCAGCAGAAGAAAGCAGATCGTGCTTGTTTCGGGCGACGCAGTGACGCGCGCAATGCAGCAAAATGCACAAAACATGCCGTCATAGGCAAATTGGGGCCTTCAAGGGCCTCGCAAGTTTCCGGGCTGCGGGGCAAAAATCACCTGCATTCACCCACTCAGCTTTACAGCTCAGCTTCTCCCAACTCTCTCACCTCCCTCACCAACTCAAAGACCTCGTCCCTTATTTGTGTGCCCCTCTGGTTCTGGCAGAGATGAGCCTTCCTCCACATCACAAACAAAGACCAGTCCTTGGTCCCAGATCTCACACAACACCAGGTACGGGGTAAGGTGTCACCGAGGCGCATCCCGTCCTCCCTGCTCCTCCCCCATCTTCAGCCAATGCTCGCACCAGGAAATGACGATACTTTGGCAGCTTCCCAGCTTCCTTGCACTTTATGCTTGTCTGGGTTCAGCTGTCCAACATCTGGCCCTGTTTCACGCGGGGTCTCTCATCCAAGTCATTGGTTCTGTATCGAGACTTACGTATGCTATGAACGACCTCCGCGTCAGTTTTTGTCACTCGTGCCTGACGTGCTTTGGAATGGCGTCTTTAGAGTCTAGCCAGGGTCGTAGATTCCTTTGGCTGGGGTTGCTTTCATTGTGTTCTTAAAAGCCTTGCCTTGCTCCTCCTCGGATGCCTGTAGACCTTCTTCAATCCCCCAACTTCTCACACAGCTGAAGCCCACACTTTTGAACAGAGTATATCAGCAAACGATATCAAGCACAATGTCTTACAATGATGACAACGTATGGGCCAGCTCGGGATTGGACGGGCGTGCTGTTAACATTCTCTAGCGACGCGGCGGTGGCTACGGTGACGATAGCTATGTAGGTCACTCAGAAGTCCATCAAGACCCCCAATCTGACTACAAGTTAGGGCTCTGACCGACGTCAAGGAGGTGGCTTTGGCGGTGACAGCTATGGTGTATGGCCTTCCTACCTGGTTCTCTTCCCTCCGATGCTCACGAATGTCAGTCTTCCGGTCGTGGTGACGGCGACAACTATGGTCGAAAGACCGGTGGTGGCCTAGGAGCTGATGACACTTATGGTGACTCCACTGTTACAGGAGGTAGAAGCACTGGCCGTGACAACGAATTCGGTGAGCTGTCACCAAGTTCCATAAGACGTCATTGAGCTAACTGTAAATGCAGGTCTGGGCAGTGGCAGGACTGGCGCACAGCAAGCTGGTGGCTTTGGCACAAGCGACGATACCTACAGCTCCGGAACCCGTGATACCTCTGGGGGCTATGGTGGCAGTGGCCGCACCGGTGGTGGCCTAGGCACTGATGACACCTATGGAGACTCGACAGCCACTGGTGGTCGAAGCACTGGCCGTGACAACGAATATGGTACGTGCTGATCAGAGTGTTCTGTGAACAAGTTGACCTGACCTCCTGTAACAGGCCTGGGCAGTGGCAGAACTGGAGCTCAGTCATCTGGTGGCTTTGGTGCTAGCGACGACACTTATAAGTCGAGCACGGGCGGCGGCCGTGGCTATGGAGATGATAGCGTTGGTCGTCGCGGGGACGATTTCAGCTCTTCGGGTGGCACTTCAGGCGGACTCGGTATGGTCTCCCTGTTGTATCTTGACAGTATCTAACTTGGGAAAGGCACCGATGATACCTATGGCGACTCAAGCCGGACCGGAGGAACTTCTTCGGGTCGGGACCAAGATTATGTGAGTACCACCCTATTGCAGCAACATACAAGGTCTCAAAACCATACTAACACGTGGACTTACAGGGCTTGGGATCTGGTCGTACCCAGGAGCAAGAGCGCGGCGGCTATGGCGGCAGTGGAGGCGGCTATGATGACGATAACTCAAGTGGCAAGAAAGACTCTACCATGGGCAAAGTGTTGGAAAAGGCGGGCAATATATTCGGCAGCAACAAGTTGGAGGAAAGAGGTGCGGAAAAGAGACGTGGTGCTGGCAACGATGACTATTAGCTTACGTTGAAGATGATGTTGTGAAGCGGTATGAACACGGTCACAGTGCGCAATGGCGGAAGAGGTATTATGCTAGCCCGGCAGATGTATGAGAAGTCATGACCTGTTTAGGCAGATGGAATATCTCAGTTGACCACGAATACGAGAAATATCACAGTATATGTGTAGGTCTGTGCCCATAAGTCATCATTCTATTGAAGCATTCGCTGCGTACAGGTCATCTGTAATGGTTCGTCCCAAATTGTCGGCAGACATTACCAACAGGTACCTAGGTAGATATATGAAATAGTGTTGGTGTTTGGTATTGTCACCTCCTCTCCCAACCCACCACACGAATCTCGACACCCGCCTTGTCGTCCTTGAGCCACATGTCCTTTGCACTCCTGCCCGCCATGGAGGTGGTAGTATCCTTTCGACCTCCCTGGTCGTCGTCCCTTCGTTCCTCCTCGTCGCCATCGTCATCATCGTCTCGCCCCGCCGCCACCGCGTCCGCAATACTCTCCTTCCTCCTCCCCTGGTGCTGGGGTACCTCGACGCCCCTCCCGATCCACTCCTGGAGTTTTGCCTGCGTGACGTGTCTCCACTTGGCGGATTTGACGCCCGAATGCGGCGACGGGAGCAGGTCGGGGAAGAACGTGTCGCATTCGAACCCAGCCTCGGATCCATCCTCGAGCTTCTCATCCTTGTCGCCGGTCTTATTTGGAGTGTTGGAAGTGGTAGCGGTGGTAGCGGTGGACGGACGATTCCGATTCTGACGACCCCGCCGAATCTGCGTCTGCAGGATCCGCACGTCAAAGTGTCTGCCGGAGCCGTCGCCGCCCATTTCGCCTTCGGTGTCGGTGCCCGTTTCGCTGCCCGCCGGGGTCGTTGGCGTCGGCGTGTGCAGCGTCGCGGACGAGAGGGACAGGACTTGGCGGTAGATCTCGGCACCGCCGATGCAGAAGATCTTGGGGATGGAGAGCTCCACGCCCGTCTCACGGGACGAGCTAGATACAGATCCTGGCGCGGATGTCGGTGTGGTGGTGGTGGAGGCGAGGTCCTGCGGAACGGGGATTGGGATTGGGATTGGGATCTGGATCGGAGCTTGTGAGGAGAGGAGCGAGAGAGTGGATGGCAAAGAGGAGGAGATGAGGATCGGAGATATCGACGACGCGTCTCTTGACGATGTTGGTGGGAGTGGGACTGGGAGGAGGATCGTGTTGGGTTTTCGCTGGGCGGCTGCTTTCTTCGAACTTGAGTTCAGTTTCATCCGCATACTCGGTAACGGAGCGGGGAGGGTATGTAATTCCCACTGCCGCTGCGGCGTCGTGGCCGTCAATTCCTCGAGGATCTTCCGTCCGAGTTCCTCGGAATCTGATCGCGTGATAATCACATTCAGTCGGCCTGCTAGCGGTCGGAATTTCGGGGGGATGCTCTCCCACGTCTTGCGGCCCATGACCACGGCATTGAGCGTTCGCGGCCCTGCCGTCGTCGCGGCCGACGACGAAGACGAAGAAGGCTCCGACTGTGAAGAACCAACCTTGGTGACCTCCGGGGCGACGTGCGATGTGACATTTTTGAAGAACGCCATGTCCGCCCTGATGGGCGGCCAGGGTAACTGACCCTTCAGGCCGATGCCCATGGGCGGATTCAGCGCCGTCGCGACGATGACGTAGATGGGTTTCGGGCGCATGAAGATGGGCTTGACGATGGTGGTGGTGGTTTTTATGATGCGTTTCGACGACGGCGAGAGCATCTCGGCATCCTCTTCTTCTTCCTCCTCCTCCTCTCCCTGGGCTCGGGCCTGGGCCTCGTCCCCGCTGTCCCTCTCGAAATTTGGGAGCCTCGGCGTGGCCAGTTCTGTGGGCGATGGCGGTGATGAGAGCGTGGTTGACGGTGGTGTTGGTACCGTCATGTTATGTTATTTGTCCCTCTTCCTCTCTCCTTGGAGCCACGGGCAGTGCGTTGGGGTTTTTGTCAGGGGAATTTTCTTCGAGGTGAGGGAGGGAGGTGTTGGTGGAGACTCAGTCGGTTGTTTGTTTGTGTGTTGCAGAACCCCTGAAAAAAATATTGGGAAATTTTTTCCAATGTTTGACGTTTCTTATCTAAATATCCCCCGTTTTTTTCCAGAATGAGTTTTGGGGGGTATGTAGATTCAGCTTGTCTGTATCGTGTCCTCAATTTATCGGATTCCTTTCTAGGTCTTGCTTTTGCGCATCTCATCCGAGAAGACAGTGAAAGTGTAAAGGGGGGCGTGCAAAAGAGAGATACTCGTAGATAGTAGAACCTTGGTAGGAACTAGGTAGATAGGGTTGAAGTGTAGTGAAAGAGAGATGACGCCACAGCCAGGACAAGATCGCTTGGTACCTGGTA